GTGTCTGTATTTGTTGGTTTGAGCGTGTGAGTGTATGTGTGCGTCTGTATTTGTTTGTTCATGTGTGTGTGTGAGAGAGAGAGAGTTTATATGAGAGTGTGTGCCTGTATTTACTTTTTTGTTTGTGTGTGTGTGTGTGTAAGCGTATTTCAGTGCGTGTGTGTATTTGTTTGTTTGTGTGTGTGTGATCTTGATGTCGCAAAGTAGGGGATTGCACTCCCTTCATGAGTTAGAATACTCCTACACACTGCAAGTAAACACTCCCAGCGTGCTGAGATCACGAGGACGTGTTAACGCTGACATTCCTGAGGAAGTGAATTACCAGGAGCGGAAGGAAACGCACAGACAGGACCTAGATGACACGCACTGCCACATGCTGATCAGGCACTGTGTGTAGTGCCATCTCCTGAGAGCAGAGAGCAATGAAAGGATGGGTTACGCCTCCTGAGGAAGACCCTTGATACGGGATCCTCAGGCGAAATGACATGGAATTCGAAGACGGTGGGGGTTCCTGTTCGCCTTTCAGTTTCATGCGGAAGGGTTGCACGAGGCTCTCCTTGATTAATGCCACGGCCATGACCTACTGCACGGGGAGGAGCCCTGCGGTAGGTGCGGACGGCAAAATGGAGAGGTTTGGGTGTAAGCGGGAAGCAGAAGAAGCGAAGGCGAGGCTCGTCCACCTAGCTGTTTAAGGGATCCTTCTTTAAGGCTGTATACCTCGGTGCTGAGGCCTTGCCGGTCCTTGCGAATGGCTTCTTCTCGTCTGTGAGACTTGAGCTGCCAGGGGGGGGGGTATTTAACCATAACCGACTGCTCGAGTTTCTGCCAAGAGGTGGCGATTCCCATGTCCTTGGCCAGGAGGGCGTCAGCGCGTGAAGGATCGTCGACATAGATAAGAGAAATACCATCCCAAGGGCAAATAGAAGAGTGATTGACGCAAGTTCTTCGGTAGATAAAGGATCGAACCAGTGGTACCCTCCTTGCAGTTATTAAGGGACGAATTACCCCGGGGTCGACACTCATCATTGTCTGCTGGAAGGCCTGCTACTACCTCCCTAAGGAGGGAGACACACCTGGTTTTCAGACATACCTATCTCTTTGTAAACCCTAAGATACAGGCTCGCAAGAACACCATCAGGCGGCAAGGGAGGCGAAGAGGAGAGCGCCCCTGTGTGACTGCAGGAAGAAGCATTTTGTCGGGTACCTGGCACAGGGTTTGTTCCTCTTGCACTTCCAGGACCCGATTCTAAGCTGCATCACCTCCTGTGGACCGTAATGTCACTGCTTATTGTCCTTGGCTACTTCTACCTGGCCTCCATCTTCCTCCTCAGGTCATTGTCTTGCCTTCATCCTGTATCTTGCCACCAGCGGGTGCCAACTCCTTCACGAGGATCTCGCCATACAGCTCTTATTTCTACTCGTATCTTATCCTAGAATTTCCTTGGTAGAGTTCATACCCTCTCTTACAATTTACACTTTGTGGGGAATGGAGGAGATTTAAGTCGTATTTCTAGTGTATTAGTGTTGTGAAAAGAATCCATTGGCATCATTATTGTCGTAATTCGTGAGATACAATTATTAGGAACAAGTACCGTAGCTTGCGTGGCCCAAACAGCCCAACATGAAATAGGCAATACACAAAACTGAATATCGAAAAAGAGGATTTTCCTAAATCAACTGAATATTAATGAACATTCAAACAATAAAAAACAAAATTCTATAGTCAATACATAATGAATATATGCAGTGAATACGTCTTATTTACTTGTATCATTTTCTTCATTACTATTATTTATTATCCATTTACTTATATAACTAATTTTTGAGCTTTTAACTACCAGCATTTTCTCCCTAGTCCAAACATAAGGAAATGCATAACAAATATATATGACGATAATATACTTTTGTGACACTTTACTCCAAAGAATATGGTACCACATAATCACTAAACCTTTTATATCTATATCAAAATGATTTTATAACTAAAATCAAATATATCTACATGTTGAGGACCACATTCCATCATGCCTTTAGTGCAGTTTTTTTATCTATTATTTTTATTATAATTATCCTTTCTCACATATTCACTTACAACAAACAAAACAATTTTCAAACGGTATCTACATCTATCAGTTAATCGATCAAAGATAACTCCGCCGTCTGGATTCGTTATCAAACCATATTAAACGTTATCTCTAATATGCATCTGATATCTGTCTGTTACTCAGGAGTGTTTAGTAAACGTATATTATTAAAGAATAAACAGTGGTATGGATGCACGTAACGCCATACTTGCACACATAAGTACAGGGTTTTGTGTAAAGATTGATTGATAGATAGATAGGTAGATAGAAATTTAGATAGATAGATAGATAGAAAATTAGATAGATAGATAGATAGGTAGATACAGAGTTATATTCTTTCACATCCACCTCCCCCCCCACACACACGCACACACACACACATGCACACGCAGTCTTTTATAACATGCATGCAGACACACACACACTCACACAGATATATATATTATATATATATATATATATTATATATATATATATATATTATATATATATATAATATATATATATAATGTACAGGGAGAGTCCGTGTGTGATATAATCTTTTTTGTCGCCTTCCTCAGGAGAGCAAGCCCCCCCCCACCCCCCCCCCCT